TGGTACTTTGACTCTTTTATGCAGCTGAGATGATGAAATAAAAATGTGTTTGGTAAAGGAATTCAAATTAGCACTGGGTCACATAATTCCCCTGTTCTGAATATGGCCAATCAATGGCATCTCTAAGGCATCTAGAGGCAAGAGCTATGCAATTTCTGCTCATGCAGAATAATATTCCTAGCGTGGAAATTTCTGCTAATTAAAGCTCTTGCCAAGTAGAGTCTTTTTTTTTTTTTCTTCTTCTTCTTCTTAAATAGCTCAAGTCAATGCTTTGCAAGCCAGGACTTGGAGAAAGTCTCTGTATAGTTAGAGCAATGCATTCAAGATTTCAAACTGCAGATCTAAGCTTCCTGCTAAAATCGTTGTGATATAAATAGTGTTACATACCCTTAATAACAACTTAGATATGAAAAAAAACCCCCATATAATGTTTTCTTATGGAATTAGGGACATGTATACAAAGGAACTATTTTAAGCTGTGCTTGTGTTTTGTTGTAGAATGTAATGTAGGAAATATATAGGAAATATATGAGGGGATATAGGGCACCAGGAGTAATATCTATTCTTTTTGTTCTGTGGTAAAATAACTTATTAACTCCCTTTAGGGTTAGAGCTATCTATATTAAAATAATTTTGCTTGACTCTTTATTTTTAATAATAAAGTCAGTAGCAGGGATAATAAAGGTTAAAACTCCAGGGAAGTTAATGAAACATAAATTATTACTGAATTTGGGCTTCAGTCCAAATTTCTTTTTACTACTTATTGTAGGACAGCTCATTCATTTTTCACTCGCAAAAATACCTTGCTATGTATAATGGTACACAATTAGCTAGGACCATACAAGACATTCCTTAAGTATATAATTTATTAATTAGAAATTAACTGAATGAAATGCAGTGGGCTGCAGGTTCTCATAGAAACTGATGGCAGAACTCTAAAAACCCTTTTCACATTCCATCCAAAATCACATGGTGTGACAAGAGTGATATATGGTCAGTAAAAAAGGCTTTTGTGTTTTGTTCAGTTTTTCTGAACAATAGTGAAATGATCTTAATGCCCAAAAAAGAACAAAGAGTCATAGTGGTGTTTAGGTGTTAGAGCAAACGGAATGCTCAGAGCTGCTCCAGAGCCCTGGAAGGCTCTTAATGTTGAGAGAAGGGTTTGGGCATATCAGGCAGTGCCTATTGTTGGCAGGGAAAGCTTTGCCTCTTGAGAAGCAGCATGCACTGTCCCAGTCCCTCCCATCAGCTCAAGAACAAACTCTTACCTTGGATTTCCGTTCTGGATCCACACTCTCTCATATTCCAGTCTGTGGCAAGAATAGCCTTTCCCCCTGCATGGCTCCCCATCCTTCATCTTTAGAGACAAAAGTTTATTTTGTCTATCATCTTGCTAAAGAAGCAAGAATTGCCTCCATTCACATCCTACCACACTATCAATGGTGCATAATGACAGAAAGTAAGGAACTAGGAACCAAGATATACAGACTCAGTTCAATTTAGCATAATTTGTCCCACGCTAGTGTAGATGTCCAAAACTGTTCATATGGACTGTGCTCTAGGGGTGCCTGTTGCTTTTCATTAGCTATAAAAGAAGTCTATGTCAGCTAGCTGAGATGTGCAGAAGATGATGAATTTCATTCTAAGGGAGTGGTTGTGTGAGGTAAAGAGCACCTTCCTCTTCCATTTGCTTCACTGGCATATGATAGCACGTGCACTATTCAGCCTCAGGATTAATGTTTTGCAAGACTGGATTTAACTTTAGTTTCTCTTTACACAATTGGCATGTAACAGGTATCGGCATATTAATCCCTCATCCCCATCAGTAATGAAACTGTCATGAGTATCTATTGCTTTTCCAGTTTTATCTCATTGAGAGTTCAGGATTTATTCTTCCATATTTGAAGACTTTCAGAACATGTGTTTATGACAGGTCTGTCTATTTGGAGCCAGAGACTTGTGTTTCTACCTTGAGGTCCACCATTTATGCTTGTCATGAGGATGGCACAGACAATTATCAGACAAGCATCTCCCATTATGTTGCTACCCGGAAGCTGCCAGCCTCTGCTGGAGGATTTTCTCCATGCTTAGGTTACTAAGTGCAAAGATGTCAGCTGATATTAGCAGAAGTAGTAATTCCATGATGTTACTAGGCACTGGCCTGAAATGAAGATCATGTTTTATTTTATTTTTTTTTACAGCAGGCACTTTCAACTTTTCAGTGACCCGTGCACCACCACATAGAGTCATTTAAGAAGAACAAAGGCTAGATATTTTTTCCCATTCAGAAAGGGAAGCACACTTTTCCAGTGGAAATTCCAGTGGTAACTCATATTTGTTGAAAACCTGGTTCATCCAGGTTGGTAACACTGCCTTGGAACACGCCTGAACTGCAGTAGCTCCTGTCATGGTTTGAGAGATGTCTCCGTACTGTGAAAGGATGCATCACAAGTGCCTGGCCATTGCGCTTCCTGGGATACATACCCTTTTCTTCTGTGGGAGAGGGAAGCTACAGACCATGCAGGAGAATGAGAGCACAAGGCAACCAAACCACTCAGATTGTGGCTGAAGCAA